CCACCTACCTTCAGTTTTGAAGTTATAGTTCGGCCGCTTAGGAAGCGACCTCCTCCAGCATTGGTTTAGCATCAGCGCCCAGGTCGTTTTCTAAGCGGCCGAACTATAGTAGTGTAGGTTTTAAGTCATATTATGATAGCGTCTGTTCCAGAAACATAAATGTTATACATTAGAAATTAGGTTGCATGAACGTAACCAATTTCAAATTAAGTAAAGGTTTTTAATGTACGAGTTCTTGTTTAAATCCATAGTAGGCCTAATTATCTTTCCATACAAAAACTGTAGGTACTGGTAAAAGTGATTAAGCACCGATCAATCAAATACTGGACTAACAACATTTAAATGCAATATTCAAAACCTCAATATAGTTTGCTCCAATCATAGTCATGGTGTAAATTACAATTGATAAAACCTTAAGACTATATGCTATAGAGTTAACAGAGCAGAGAATATCGAACATTGCTTCAAAAAAGTAGAATAAAAGAACAAGGAATTTTTAATCTGATTCTAAGTAAACTGTTTCCAAGCTGAAGGGGTGAATGTGATAAAATTTCAAGAGAGTTGTAGCTTTAAGGCCCCGGGTACGGTACGAGCGGTGAGCGGTATGAGCGGTGCCGCACTGACATCAGGTCTGCACAGTTTGCCATATTCGACTAGACTGGCTCCTATAACGGGGGACAATGAGCGTCATAAATGTGACGCTTGTATCGTAGCCACCACTGCCGCGTACGTGCCGCTTGCCGCTCACCACTCGTATCGTACCCGAGGCCTTTAAGGAGACTGTAAAACTTAAACAACCCAATTCTGCCAGCTTATCAGCCTTATTATTATGTCTTATTATCTACCTAGTTTGGACTGATCTGTTGGGGCGTTGAATGGTTATAAAGTTCACCTTCAAATGTGAGTGTTGCTCGTTTGATTCTGAGCAGGATCAACATCAATAAACTTCATTAGCAATTCTCAAAGAATTTATGACAACACTATCTAAAGAAGGTTGGTCAAAAAACTACTCAAATAAGATTCTGAAGTCAGTGACAAATTGATTATTTTTTTATAAGGTTTTTCTATGATTAAAAATCAGTAGCTCCAGTATTGTTTTTTTTTTTTTTTTTTTTTTTTATGTTTAAGACCCAAAACATTTAGTGAATTATAGCTAGGCTTTAATTTGAGCTATTGATCGTTGAACCAGTTATGTTCTGGAGAGACCTACTGTATTACTCAATCAAAAAACATAAATTTGATTAGGCCTATTTCTTGGATATGATATTTATTTAACACAGCGGAGCAGCAAGGGTCCTCTAGTTTAGTATGATAGCTAATTTGCAGTAGTCTATAATTAACGATCATGTTTATCAGCTTTTTTGGTTCAGATATCTTAATTTGTGTTATCTAATTTAACTAATTTAACAGCAATTCACACAGCAATTCAATTGGCAGGATACAATTTTTAAAAAAAATTGAGTACTTTGGTATTATTCGGAGGCCACCCTTATACAGCACGCTGCGGCGGTTATGTTAGGTTGGGTTATCATCAATATGTTTGTAGGACTTTCCTCGTTTCGTTATTAATCGAACAATACCAGATGGGTCATACTTTCGCACGCCAAATCCCCTCCAAGTAGGCCATGGTCAGGTCGTTGACCGAAGCGCGCGCACATCACCTGTATACCTAACCTGGGGTATTTGGCGGGCGAAAGTATGACTCATCTTGTATCGTTTGATTCAAAACGAGAAAAGTCCTAAAAACATATTTATGATAACCCAACCTAACATAACCGCCGCAGCACACTGTATACTTACTTAGCGAGTATAGCGGTGGTGACGCATTCAACTCAATCCTCGCCAACATCGCTGCCTTCTCGGAAGGCAGAACTCAAGGCCGCTCATCGTAATCACATGCTAAATTTGGACAGTAAGTCAAAACTTTAACAGTATGTTCTTTCTAATTATGTAGGTAGGTAGTTATTTTTGGTCTCCAGTAAAAAAATCTCAAAAATAAAGGTGCCTCCGGATATTAATAAAGTACCAAAAATTGCTGCAGTCCTGCAACCTACCTCGGCAAATCTTACCTTAGGAGCTCTAACTTATGAGTCCGTTTACAAATGATGAGCTAAAATCATGATCTATCATAACTTATTTTAGGTAAGTTTGGCAACTTTAAGTTAGTACTTAGTTTTACAGATTAGTGTGAGGCCACTACCTAATAACTTACTTAGCGTTCATTAAAGACCTTAATCCTAGACACACAAGCTACCATCCTAAACAAAATTTGCAATGTTCAACCTAAGTCACTTTTTTCTTGCCATAATTTAATAATAATTGTAAATCAATCCATGGGTAGGGCCTACGGTTTCGCAGAGAACCTGCGATAAATTATCAGGTGACTAAACTTAGCGATATATCAATGTGTATCCGAATATTGCATCGATTATTTTAAACCATGATAAGTAAAAACAATATAGGCTAGCTAACATTAAAAAAGCTTTTTGTGTTTATTTTATTAATTAATTATTTTATCCTAAGTAATTGAGATAAAAACTGGAGGAAACAATTAATTTTATAATCCTATGCAGTTATCATATTAACAGCATTATAAACTGTGTTGATTTTTAAAAGGACAAATTTTGATTCTGAAAAAAGGTTTTTTTTTATTTTTCATTACTTAAATATTATTTGTTTTTGGTGATACATTAGGCCTATTGTTTTGGTTGATTAAATAACAATAAAATCGTAACTTGTATGATTTTTTTCTTTGTACCTGATGTTTTCTGCTCGATTTAGATAAGCATGACCAAATGATGACTAGATAACTTACCTAATCCTTTAAATATAAGTTTGGTAGGCCTATCTACAGTAATTCAAAGAAATAAAGAAACATTATTTATTTGCCAAATTGATCATTTGCTGGAGAGTGATCCCTTGTTTCCTCTGTGATAGGCTATAAAATATTACTCAATAAATTGTTGAAACAAAACAGGATTAAAGCTACATTAAATAGGCCTAATCCCAAACTAAGTTAAGCCTTGATATAAAAGATCCAAACTAAAACCTTGCTGGATTACAGACAAATAAGTTAAGCTAACAAGTATTATTCTGTTGCAGTTTTAATATACTCATCAAGCTCTTGGCTATGTCTATAGGCCTACTAAGTTATCGGTATTTAATTCAGATTAGGCTAGCTAAGGCTTATCGATAGGCTTTAGCACATGCAGGTGCCCCAATATTATAATAGACCTAAGTTACTTATTATAAGTTTGGCTAGACATTATGGTTATTTTACGGTGATCAATAAACCGGGGCTCTTTGATTTTCAAAAAGGCATTTGAATAGTTTCAGTTCAAAATAAGTGCAAGCAGGTAGCTAGCCTTGTCGGAAAGGGCTAATGCCGAATGTGCTCTAACTTAAGTTACAATCAAAGGATCGCCACGAACAAATTAACTTACTGAATATAAATTGTGACGTAGGCCCTATCATGTTGTTATGCATTTTTAAGATATGACAGATATTCATAAGTTAAATCAATTTGTATTGCAAGCAGATATCTTTGTACGTAAACAATAACTTTGTCGGAGTAAAATTTGATGTCAATCCTATCCTAAAACTCACACTGTCTATCCGACAAAATACTAGCTTAGCTTACTATCGGTATTTAATTCAGATTAGGCTAGCTAAGCCTAGGTATCAATCTAGGCCTTCGGTGTCCCAATATTATAATAGACCTACTTAGCCTATTAACTTGGGCCTATAGGCTAGACCTTAATGGTTTTTTAACGTTAAACAGTAAACCGGGGCTCTTTGATTTTCAAAAAGGCATTTGAATAGTTTCAGTTCAAAATAAGTGCAAGCAGTGAGCTAGCCAATAATGTCATAAGGAAAGGGCTAATACCGAACGTGCCCTACAATCAAAGGATCGCCAAGAACACTTTACTGGATATAAATTGTGACGTATCTTGTTGTTATGCATTCAAGATATGATGGATATTCATAAATCAATTTGTATTGCAAGCAGATTTCTTCGTAAACAATAACTTTGTCTGAGTAAAAATTGATGTCAGTCCCATCCTAAAACTCACACTGTCTGTGGACAAAATATGAATCTGATAATTGATGAAATTGATTTCAGTAGCCGTTTATGGGAAAAATGTTTATTTACGACATCTTAATTATTAAAGTAAATATTAAAAGCAACCTTAAAACAAAAGAGACATAAATTCACCTTGTTTTGTTGTTGATTGAGGCGTTATTGGTGTCTATGACTACGGCATCAGACGACGATGGTTGCTAGGCTAAGCCGCTTTACCTCCTACGCGCAAGGATACGTCGTCGTTAAAAAGGACAAATATTCATTTAACTCACAATATTGATAACCCTAGGGTAAACAATCTTATATTTAAAGTTCATTTCGCTTTGATTTTCTTTTCTTGTTCTAAATAAATGCTTGGTATAGAAAAATTATTATCAGTGGAATTGGTACTACTTTTTGACACTAGAACATTTTCTACTGCTCCGATCGGTTACTTCAATAATGGAATGGAATATGCCTACTACAGTGTTCTCTTTGGTAAGTAAGCTAAAACGAAGTGCAATGCGTGCGCCCTTCGCAAAGCAAAAGTGGACTATTCTAAAAGATGGATGATGGCGTGATTTAATCACAAAATAATCTATATCTATTATATTATTATATTTAAATTTAAGTACAGTAAGCTAATTACTACTTTGAATTTGAATATTACTGCTTTTGTTGAATTTTAAAGATAAATGAATAAATTTCAAGTATTTTAACAGCGTTCAATATACCTTAGTGCATACACAAATCAAAGCTCTATTTAAATTGAAATGTCTTCAATAATTTTATTGAGACGGTGCAGTGTCAATAAGTACATTGCATCTTCATGATACATTGCATACATTTTAAGACGCCTTAAAATTCCATCGAGAGCCACTTTCAATAAATTAGCATAATTTAAACCAAATTTTAAAAAGTTAAAATAATTAATTACCTTTAACCAATTTTCTGCTAGGAACTTTTCCTAGGGATTTTCTAACAATTTCTTCCTCATCCAAAATGTTTTGAAAAGCAAGATTTCGTCTTTTTTCCTCGTAGTAGTATTCATCATCACTTAAATACTCTTCTTTAATATAATCATAATCCATTTTTTATGTAGAGATAATTTTAAAATGAGGGTTGAGCCAAATGTTTATTAACTTTAGATAGTGTATCTAAAGTGGATATTTTATTTTTCAAATTCAAATAATTAGACGTATAATATTGTGTTGACGATTTCGTTGTCATAGCAACTTCATCCGGGATACATATGTGCGTCCTCAGTCTGCAAACGGGATAGGATATAATAACAACATCAATCTGCCAACAGGACTGAAAAAATAAACGACTGCTAACTCAAATCAAATCAAACATTAAACGGATATACCGTAGCTTTGACTATTATTAATACAACTTCGGTATTCAATTGTCAATTACTGTAGATAAAAATGGAAATTAAAATTAAAATACCTACCTAATGACTTTTTAAAAGGGTGATAACGGTTAATAGGTCGTAATAAATAAACAACTCAACATACAAATATCATCTTTCATGAGTGCCAAAAGAGACTGGCAGGGAAGTTAAACAAATATTACCTGTTATAAATGTACCATGTACAAATTTATGCATGTTTTTTTTAGGAATAATTCAGTGACTGCACTTTCTTCTGTACGACATCGTCATCGTGTAAAAATTCAATATTACCTCATTTTTAGCACTTATTTTTCAACGGGAATATTTGAAAAATCTTCAGTTTGATTATGTCTTTCCAAGTGTATAGGTAAATGTATAATATTTAATTATATTATAGGTACTTGGAACACGTTGAACTATTTATTTTGAAACTACTTCTTATTCCTTGATATTGTAATCAAGTAAAACGCAAACTATAAATATTACCCGATACCAAGCGAGACACATTAGCGCACTCAAACGCTACCTGACACGAAACAATTAAACAAAAACGCTTCATACTACCCTCAATCGTCGGACGAGCTGGGTAAAACCCGTAAAATACCATAACCCCTTGTCCGATCAACCCGACCGCGATAATAGTGGCCGCGTGTCACGTGTGTGTAAATATTTTTTGTAAGGGTAGTGTTAGTGATAAGAAGAACTCAAGGGCTCAAGAAGACCCCTGAAGCGTCCTAAAGATGCCACGACCACACCCGGTGGAGAAATGCATATGGTGGCATACCGCATAAACATCTTACCTAGAAGAAGGCAACAACAAAGGGGAATCTAATAAATTTAGATATGCTTTATAAGTTTAATAGAGGATCAAAGTCTGTGGTAACCGAACTCAGTGCTTCAGCTGATCCGGTGTGATAAATGATAAATCTGTAAGACAATTGTTTAAATATGCATGGTGGAAGGAAAATACAAAATATGTGTCAATGATTATACCGTTGGTATAATTTATTTGGGTTATATTAACTCTAATATTTTAATAATAAATAAAGGTCTCTAGTCCGTCAGCCTTAAGAACTTTCACTGTGCCCAAAAACTCCTTCTAATAAAATCCATACGATAGTTTTGATTTATTTACCAATTTTATAAACTTGAGACTTGTATATTATATAATATAATAATAGTCATAATATTATTATGACTTGAAATTTTCTATGCTGATTCTTAATTTTTATATGGAATTAATTGTGATTGTGAATTCACTGGATTCTGCGATTGCAGTGGCAGTGGTGGCCAGCAAGTCTGACGTCTGCTGCCTGTTTTTTGTTGTTGTTATTTGTGTTTTGTTTATCTTTGGTTTAGTCTTAACCTCCTGAGAAAATATAAAATGTTCATTTTAGTTTACTATCCATTACTATTTAATTACGGTTGCTAATCTGCTAATTTAAAGATTAGGTAAATCTAAAACCTCTCATACACCAAGGTATCTAGTTTTTAATGTCTTCAAGCAATAACAACTATAACTTAAGTCTTAGGGCTAAGATTAATAGTTTGTGGTTAACTTACCATCGAAAGAAGTAATATACTGTAATTATTCACTTATAGGCTTATTAACTTATTGTACTTTGGTATCAGTAATTAGCGCAAGGCCTAGTAACTTATTGAACTCTGACATAGGCTCCTAACTTTGATCTTTTTGTAAAATACAAAGTATGATTTAAGTCCTTGAAGCACAAGTTTGAGTTAACTTAACAAAACTTGTCTCACTTAGGCCTAAAATATAAGATATAACTATAAGACTGGGACGGTGGCGTTATCCTGTAATCCACCCACTAGGTCACGAATTGTGGATAGAGTATTTATAGGCATGTACTGAGGATGCGATACTCCCTGGTGTAGATTAAAGTCCGCATGATGAGCCATAATAAGGATCCTCAGATTAAATTATACCATGTAGGGCCTACTTACATTTGAGTTAGGCCTATTATGATTTGATCAGTAAGTAAACGCTATCAGCACTGAATATCTGATGTAATAGCTGATCAATTTTAGGGCAACAATGGATGAATCTGAATCAAGAGGTAAAGAGCCGGCCAATATGGCATCTGCGGCGTTCTTTAACTTAGTTTATCACTGAAAAGCTACTTTTGGGTTGAATCTTATTGTTTTCTGATTGTGTGGGACGAGTAACTTAACTTAATGCTGCCAGGAACGGCTGATGCTAAGGTAATAGCTGATCAATTTTAGGGCAACAATGGATGAATCTGAATCAAGAGGTAAAGAGCCGGCCAACAATGAAGATGAATGTGACATCTCGTCATTTAGCCATAAAGATCTCATTGAGATCACTAAGACTACACTTAATGAGGTGTTGGAGCGAGATTCTTTACTGAGCGACTTGCCAAGAGACGTGACACTGGAGGAGGTTAACGCTCAGATTGCTCTGGAGCATGGACAGTCAATGACGGTCTACGTTGATAGAGCAGACGGAGAGGAACTGCCTGTAGTGGTTAGTATAATACAATTAGGCGTTTTAATATTCTAGTTCAGTAGACATCCAATTTATAGCGATCAGCCGCAGCCTATTTTTAAATTCAAATGCAGTAAAACCTCTATTATCAAAAATAAAGGGGAAATTCGTTTTGGATATCTAACATTTCAGAAGGAATTCTTTTTTGCATTTTAAGTGTTAAGAATTAGGCAATAACACTGAAGCTCATTTTAAGGTTATGACACTTACAATAAAAACTAAGGCGTAGTCATAGACTTACCAACACAAATGAAGTAGACTTCTTATCCCATTGTAAATTTTAAAGCGCGTTTATGAGACTAGTTCATGTCCAGTGACATTGATCGCTAGTGGCGACGAAATTTTGATTCTATTATTTTAGGGTTATTGTGCTTTTATCCATTCAGTTTGGCTTGATAAAAAAAGTTGGCGTGTTCTTAAGATGGCTTAAGGCGTAGTATACCGATTCAGAAAACTTCAACTTTGGCCGTTCACTGTTGATTTTATACTAAATTAGTACTGTAACAGTTAAATTTTGCTATTTACAGATATGGTAAAATCCTTCTTCTAGTTTTAATTCTCTTGGTCTGAACCTGGAGGCATAATATATATGACTCAAGTCCAGTACTCAAGTGACTTCTCAATAACCTTCTGAACAGTTAAGCCACTATCTGATTGTACAGGATTTTTTCAAATGTTATTGTTTTTTGTTTTGTTTAGTATAGTAAAGTAGTTAAACACCTTACCACCAGGTGACATGAGACCCCTCATGTCGAGGAGTGTGGCACCAATGATTCTGAACACACATAATTTGTGGCTTTGATCATATCCATTCATTTTCATCCTAACTTCAAATAGTTCAGACTCATTTTGGTGCAGACCAAGGTGTTAAAACAAAGTACGCTAGTCTAGTAGTTACCTAAGAATATCATATGTGTAGTCATCATTTTTATGCAACTCAACCTACAGTGAAACCAACAAAATGATACTTTTAGTTATTGACTAAAATCTAAATAACTTTTTCTTATTTACAGGTGAAACATAAAGATGCGACAGTGTTGGACCTTAAGAGAGCCATCCGAAGGCATTTAATGTGGAGGATGGACAGACTGCAAAAAAAGGTTAAGATAAGTTGGAAATACATCTGGAAAACATATCACTTGGTGTACGACTCAGAAAGACTCGTCAAGGATGAAAAACTGTTATCTGAAATTGGCATAAGGAATAAATCAAGAGTGACCTTTGTGAAGCGATTGAGGAAGAAAGGAGAAGTTGAAAGTTGAACTACTTTGTCAACTGTGCAATTGATTGAAGTCATGTAGTTAATTGCTGGATGTAAATATATTTCCTATTTTTATATAAGTGTTTGATTATTCTAAGGTAAACCGCCCAAACGCAGAAAGGCTGTCCAATCGAAACGAAATATTTTTGAAACGGGATAGTAAGAATTTTTGTCCACTACGGATTTAACTCCGATCGGCACTGTATTCAGCGTTTTTCGATCTAAAAAAGACATCTTCACTCCATTTTGAAACATTTGTAGGGTAGATTAGTTGACCGTTAGAGTTTTGAAGTTTGGCGGGAGTGACACTTAATAAATCATCTACGTGACAAGGTAAAAGAAGTGAGGATATTCAATTTCCGCGGTGGCGAGAGCCTACAAAGTTCCGAATACGACTTTGTTTGACCTACTTAAAGGCAAATATAAATAGAATGCACCAATCGGGTTCTTACTAATGAGGAAAAATAGTAAGAATACCCCTGTGTTTAAGTTGTGGCCAAATGGCCCAGTCAATATAGGTTTTATGTTAGAAGTAATTCTGGGAAAGCTGGATTTCCTCAAAAGTCCCCACTTCTCCCCCTTGTGCTCTCAATCATTCTCAACCCCCCTTTTTAGATAAATTTACAGTCTCTTAGAAATTTAGCTATAACTTTAAAACAGGTAAGGATAACAATAAGGATAATTGTTCGGTGTTTGGGCTGTTTACCTTACCTGTGGTTTACCTACTTACAATCAGGTTACTATTAAAAATCCATTTTTAAGAACTATTTTGTCTCTTGTTTACAATCCAGCTGTGGTTTAACATTCAACTGGTAAATCAGCTCTTATAAATTACAATTTACATTTTAAATCCGTTAAAAAAAGATTGTCACCAACACTGGATCTTTAAAAGTGAACTCTAGAAATAAATCAAACACTAGTGGGTGAAGCCCTTAAGGAAATTACCTTTTTGGTTACATTTTGGCCCTCTGCCAAATCATAACCTTAAAAATGACACCCAAACTGTCTTAAGACTGGCGAAAAAGGAGAAAACTCTTACTGTATTAATTTAATGGTTAATCTAAAGGTGAAATTCCTAAGTTAAAACGATTTCAAAGGCTTAATTTAGCCTAGTGGCATGGCATTATCTATATATATAATTCCGTAAGTCAAATTTTTGTAAAGAAATTGTGAGTGACTGGATGGCCGTAGAAGGATGGGAGGGGTCTTATTTTAAAGGTCTTGACGTGAATTTTGAGGGAAAACTATTCATTTTTCTTATTTTTTTACCATAAATTCGCAACAGAATAAAACTTTTCCCATTAAAACAACATGGGGTTTAATTTGTTTACATCTTTTGAAATTAAAACAGCTGTGCCACAGATTTGAAAACAGTGATCAATACACGCATTTGGTTTACTTTTAGCCAGTCAACTATGAAATGTATACTATAATAAAACTGAAATATTGAAGATTAGTCGGAAAAACGTCTGCATTCTTTGTTTATATTTAAATCATATACTCAAGTTTCATTTTGTCATGCTTTTACGTTATTGTCGTGTTAAAGGAATAAACAACATAGAATAAATATTCTGTATAAATAATCAAAGAGTCGAAATTAAATCTAACTTCTGTTTTGTTTTTATTTTTAAATCATATGGTTCAAGTTTATTTTAAATGATGTTGTTTTCTTTATATTTCTACACATTTTAAGGTTAAGGTTGTGTAAATATATACAACTAAAATAACCTACAAATGTTATTGGTTCTAAAATGGTGTATTTGCATTCCTTCGTATAGTAAATTTTTTTAGTGCAGAGAATATACAACGTAGAGTAATCATATTCGATCATACTTTTATAAAATCACCAGGGATTCAAGATGTTTTGGTATGTAGGCTGCTGGATATATATTCTTTTCATTATAAGTACTGTAATTAATATGAGCGCCAGGGGAATACCACAAAGGCGGGGAACTGTTCATAGGAATGACAGTGCGCGTAGGAGAGCAAGAGTAGATAATGACGAACTTAATCAAGATATGTTACAACCCCTTTTTAGGAGACCCATGGTAGACGCGAGAAATGTAAAGATCCATGATGCAGGATTATTGGACCAAGAGTGCATTCAATGTAGTGCTCTTCATTTTAGAGAAGAACAACGAATAATCATTTTATGACATGTTGCCATAACGGACTTATTAACCTTCCTCAGTCAAAAACTAATGTAGTACTTAAAAGTTTGTTTGAAGAGAGCCCACAACTGTATAAATTCATTCGACAATGCAACAGTGCGATGGCTTTTGCTTATTTTTCAGCCAGTAAGAAAGATATTCCAGGAAAAGGACCATACTGTTTCAAAATTCAAGGACAGATTTATCGTTCAATCTCAGATTTGCTGCCTCAACATGATGAAGACCCCGTGTATGGCCAATTGTACATTATTGACACATTAACAGCAACAGAAATTCGTCAAAGGCGTCGAGAAAATAGTGACTTAAAACCTGAAATATTGTCAAAACTAGCTGAAATTCTATTAGAAAATCCATTTGCACAAATTTACAAAAGAGCTTCGGAAGAAATGGTTGTACAAGGTGACAGTGAATTAGAACTTAGGTTTGTAGACAGGATAAATATGGATCGTCGTAGGTATAATAAGCCTACTGCAGGTGAAATTGCAGGCGTCTTCAATTCATCTGAAGGCGAACCTCCAATGAATTTTTAAAATTCCAAACAGGGAAGCTTTTATTTATCCCCATTAACCACAAGACCAAAGCTACCTTAGTAAATCAGTATTTATTCTCAAACAATGATATGTTTGCTGCCTTTTCATGTTAAACCACTGGAGTGATTCAAATTATTTATTGAAAATGACATCAACAAAAGCAAACAAAGAAGAACAACAAACTGGTTTTTACACAAAATATATGGTGTAGGGATGCCTATTCTGACACATAGATAATGTTATTCTGAGTTTGTTTAAATACCGGTATTGCAAAAAGTTGTTTTACATTTGAGCTTTTTAGGGACTTTACGTCCCTACAAGCCACTAGTTATATTCTATAAAGAGCATAATCACATTAAAGAAAGCCAAATTTTAAACTACCAACATCTAAGCTGGCATTTTATTCATTTTTAAAAATTTTGTATTACAAACAAACTCTTATTTACTCCTAAACCTTAAAAAAGCAACAGAAAAACCTTAATAAAATCATTTCATAGAAGCTGGTATTTTAACAAAAATGTGTACATACAATTTGAAAATAACAACATTGTTTTTAAATCAATTAATAAACTCATTAAAACATAACGTTGGCAAATCTACGCGACACGCTCTTTCCAGTGAGACGTGAATGCTCCAAATTGGTTAAGAAATGGAAGGGGAGTCCAACAGACAAATTTCTTGTTGGCGTATTAATTATATAGATTTTACAAAGGGCATGATAAGAATAAAGCCAAACTTTTAACCAGTCTAAGCTGGAATATTTTTTTAAAGTTTTTTGTACCAGATACAAATTTACTCCTAAACCTTAAAACAACAGGGAAACCTTAATAAAAACATTTCATAACAAAATTAGAAAAAATAGATAACTTATAAAAACATAGTGTATTTTAACAAAAATGTGTACATAAAATTTGAAAATAAAAACAACTTTATAAATATTGTTTTTAAATCAATAGATAAACTAATAAAAACATAACGTAAAAAAAAGTGTACATAAAATTTGAAAATTCAAAGTAAAATATATCACAGATTTTGAGATTTAGCTTTGCCGGCGGTTGCTTCTTCTTGACACTCGCTCATACAGCTGTTTGTATTTCGTCTCCAAGTCCGCTTTGAGCATGGCTCGGTACTCGTCATCTTGTTGCGGCCTTTGCTTCAGTAACTCAGTGATGTAGTCCCTGCAATCAAAAAATTCCTCCAGTACTACTTAACCAGATGTAAATTTGTATCTCAATTAATCGTTGATTTGTTTAGCTATAACAAGCATGAATAATTGTTTTTTCCTAGAAATTTTTCATAAAACTATTATTAAACACATACATGATGTTAAATAAATGTGTTTATGTCTTTTGTTTGTGAACTTTCAACTCACCTCCATAGGTAAGATTAGTTCTTATACAGATCTGACGATGGCGTTTGCGCCGAAATATGCATAATCCATTTAGGACAAAACTAGAACCACAAAGCAACGAAATGTGATTTAATGTTTTTTAATTAGGCCTATATTTAAATTAAAAGTTCCCTTTCTATGGACTTATAATACATTTTCGATATTATAAAACTCACATATATTTTGGTGGGAAGAAAAATTTAGCTTTTTATTAGTAACACAGAATTGGTGATGGAAGGTTATAATTGGTGAATTATTTATGTATGTCTTTGACAAAAGGTGCAAAACCTACATTATTGTTCACAAGGCGCTATTTTCGGCGGTGATAATGCACCAAATTAGTCATCTGACCGAAGATTGATGTCTAATTTCGAAGAAATCGGCTCAGTTTTGGACAGAAATTAAAAGACCACGGTGCGCAGTCAGGCAGGTCGCTCCCTTGAAAATAATTAGGCTGTACATGATAGTGTAGAGGACAACATAAGAACATCGATTTGTCGGCGTAGTCAGCAGTTAGGCCTAGCTCGGAGCACTGTTAAAAGACCTTCACATGTCCCCTTAAAAAATTCAACTCACACAAGAGATCCTATAAAACGACTTGAATTTGTAAACTGGGTGAATGGAATTCAACAGGAAGTGTGTGAAAAAGTGATGCAAAACTTTGTCAAGAGATGTTGGGCTTGTCAGCAGGCAGCAGGTGGGTACTTACAAGACATAATATTCCATTACTAATCGGAGATACTATGCTTTAAGATTCATGTTTCATATTGTAAAATTAGCATGAATATATATGGTTTGTAACATTTCAAATCCGGCGTTCTTATTGGGACACCCTTTAGTTATGTTGCCTCCAAAGCTGATTATCAACCCTAATCTTCAGCTCAATAGTAACACACGGACGAAAGCTTCAATCAAATAAAATAAGACGTAAGTTTCAATCAAATAAAATAAGGTAATTTTTTAATTACTTGTAGGTTGTCATTTAAAACATGTAAACATACGCAAAGAAAAAATTTGAGTGGTACCAAATTTGCTCAATGGTAGAACAGTTCGACCTTAATTGTGAACACTGGTTAAAACCGCTTAGTCTATGTACAGTAATTTCATAGAGGCATTCAAAGTAACGTAGCGATTTAGTTTTTATAAAATTAATACCATAAACATGAACTTTGAACTGAAAATTGAACTTAATATTAAGTTGTAAGCTTTTAATGGTAAACACCTAAAAACACTAGAGTATTGTTAATGTTCTAGGTTTAAAATTACCCAATTTTTGCAGGGGATTCATTCAAACTTGGACAGTTGAGACATGGACAATCTGATTTTTCTTGAGTAAACCCTGCCCTTATTCTGAAAAATAAAATTACTTAAATACTTGAAAACAGTTTAAATTCCCGATTAGCAATTTTATGCCTCTCACTTTACTTTGTAACATTACAGTAAACTTTTAACTTTCAAACAGAATGTCCTCTGATTTGTTTCATATTTTTGGACCTCTATGGCCATTATTTGAATTTTCATCTCTTACCAAGAATTCCAAAAAGGTTTACCCATCTGGACTTAAAAACACACATTAGAATTAAACAATCCCTACGACGACTTTGCACTAAACCTATTTTCTGATGCTCCTCTATAAAATGTCTACAACTCAATTCTGTGACTATAAATAAATAAGTATGTGTTCTTGTTTCAATTTAAAAAAATTAATGAAATTTCTAGTCCTGAGAATACATTTATTAAAAACATTGTACAGTGACTTACCTTTGGGGGCCTTCAGTTTTTTCGCTTATACATGAACAGCCCCTGTCTGAAAAATTCCAGATACAGCAGAGTTATGAAAGGAATTTGATACAAAAATCATATTGTTTGCTGGTTTAATTTTAAAATAATCACATATAACTCATGAAGTACTAACTTACTACTCAGAAAACCAATATTTTATGTTAAGAGATGTATCAACCACTTCAACATTGTATGAATTTAAATTTAGATCATATTTTGTAATTAAACAAAGCCAGGCCAAAACTCAACTCAAGCCAGTACAAACCTTGATATAACTTTTTATTACTTGTTTGCAGTGGGATATTCGTAAATTGTCCAGTGTGGGAACGATCTCGTTCACCATTGTCGTAGAAAATATGCAGGTCGCCTATCAATATAATAGATTCTTTGAAAAATGCAGATTGGGAATGCTGTACACCACCGCTTATTTGTAAACAACATTTTTTATTTTCATAATTTTGATCTTATAATTTTTCTAGGCCTTAACTTTGATAATTGATTCAAGGTAAAAAACAAACCTTTCTTAGGAGGAGATGGTGAACGATCAAACTTTGAACGGGGCGATTTCTGAAAAAATTGAAATGCTATAAATAAATACGAATATTTTATGCAAATATTTCAGGAAATAAGCAGTGAATAACACTCTTTGTGTGCTTATGTCTAAACAGAATATGAACATAGTTGTGTGAGCCAGTGACAGAATCTGAGCTTTTAGTTGACAAGTGCTGTTAGTGCAGTAAACTGTTGAGTCTGATCATTGGCCGGATGGTCTAAAGGCAGTGTGTCTCCGGTCAAGATACAGGTTGAGGGTTCAAATCTAATCACTGTGAAGTCTGGTTAGCCTCTCATGAGGAGTTTACCGTCCCTGGGAAATGCCCACCTAAAGTAAACGGAGGAAGGCTCAGTTCTATGAACTCTTTGAGAATTTAAGTTCAAATTAGGAACTTTGCTACTTTTTCCTTATCGTTACTCTGTCTGTGTCCACCAACAACTGTTTTAAAAATAATTAGAATGGTTTTGTTCGTGAAATGAGGGAAAACATACTAGGCATACAGTTCATCACTGAATAATATTTAAAGTTTAAATGGTTAATGCCAATCCATATTACAGTAGACTCCCTCCTATCCGGACTCCACGGGACCGAGGCCAGCCCGGATAACAGCTTTTCCGGTTAAACCGACGTCCCCATAAACTTGTTAAAACGGACCGTTTAAATGCATACTGTATACAGTGTTTGACTTAAATTTAGGAGAGCATTGTAATTTAGACACGTGATCACTGGTCTCAAATCTGTCCTACGAGAACAGTCGTTTCTGTACCGCCCACTTCCTACCGATATAGTCCGGGTAAACTGACGTGCTGATAAAAATTGTCCGGTTAAAGAGATGTAATTTCCGCCAAGTTTAGTCCGGTTAAAAGGTTTCCGGATAAGAGGGAGTCTACTGTAGATGGTAATTCGCCGATAGGGTCTTAAAATGATTGGACATTTCAATTGAAATCTGTTATAATCACTATTAACTGTAAATCTTCTTTCTTGCATATAAATCCAATATTTGGTTATTTTCTTAAGCCGGATTTGCCTAAGTATGAAATCGGAGATTTAAGCCCACTCTCTTCTTGACTTATGTAATTTAATGGTACTGTTTTCCCAGAAGCAGAGCGGACCGTTATGTAAATCGCTTCTCTGCACTCTGCATTTCCCGCTCCGCCTCCGTGCCTAGGAAAACCCTGCTTTAGTGTTATTCCACATATTTGAGTTGGAATGTTTGATAACCACAACATATTGTGCTGGTAGAAAAAATACTCCCAAAACCTTAAACAAAAACATGTTAACCTAGCCTATATTACACTTACAGGTTGAGAGAAGACCGAGCTAGTCGGTGAGTTGAACAAGTCGTGATATTTGCGGCAGAGTTTGCAGTCACACACAGATTTGGACCTCGGTGAATCGACACAAGGACAAGCTGTCTCTAACAGAATAATTACAATCAAATGTACACTCCTTGAAAATTTAAAAATATAACACTTTGTTATCTTTTAATGTTGTTTTAATGAAGTGCAGCAGTGCAAGGGTTAAATGAAATGTTAATGTTAATCATTGTGACGTTGACAAACTACAACAGTATTTTTCCATCATGTAACACTTACTCGGAATATTTAAACGAAAATTACTAAAATGGGTACCAACCCACATAAACTCCCCAGCAACCTCGAAAAGTTTAGGCAACCAAAATATACTCTTTAGTAACTCCACGAGGAGAAAACGAGCATATGGAGTTGTTTCTGCTATTGTAGGACAATAAACTGCTGCAGAATATTGAAGATGGTGCAAGCTTTAATTAAAGCCATGCAAGTGTTTTGCATCAGCTTACACACACTCACTCTCATGGCCATTTATATCCAAGGCAGGATTTGGCCGCACCAACAACTGCTCTCCATCTTTCTATCTTCGTGTTGTTTCTTGTCTCAGGATTACTGTTGTTAGATTATAAAAGGTATAATGTTACCTGGATCTGCCAGAGTAATCCAAATGTTGTCTTGTTGACTACACATTTCCTAACACCATTGGTTTCATCATCAGGTCTTCAAGAACACGTTTCACTCATCAGAGGTCGTCAAATAAATTTCTCGTTAAATACATTTCTTGTTAAATCTAATTTTAAGTCAACAATTTCTTAGAAGTGTTCATTTATTGGCCTGAGTGATCCTATAATCTATTTCCATTTCTTCACTATTACTGCTAGATATAACTTACTTACTTACTTACTCCTGTGGCCACACAAATCCAAGGAGATTTTTGGCCTCGCCAACAAAGTGCCTCCATCTTTCTCTATCTTCTGCCTCGTCCAACTCTGCGCCCAGTCTTCCGATGTCTTCAGCAACCTGGTCATCCCATCTAAATCTCGGTCTCCCCAGTGGGTGTCTTCCTTCAGGCTTTCCCCTCCACACTCTTCTTATACTGCTGCCTTCTTCTCTTCTTCTAACATGCCCAAGCCATCTGACTCTCCTACTTCTAATTAAAGCTACAATATCAGGTCTTTTATAAAGGTCCCTTAACTCTTTATTCTTTCTAATCCTCCACGCCCCATCTTCCAAAGTTGGTCCGTATATTCTCCTCAGTATTTTATTCTCAAAAGTTATTAATTTTCTCTCTATGTTCTTTGTGAGGGTCCATACTTCCGAACCATAGAGAAGAACAGGTTGGATTATTGCCAGATATATTCGAACCTTGGTGTTTCTTGACAGGAGTCTGCTTTTCAAAAGTTTTGATAAGCTCCAATAGCATCTATCAGCTCCATTCAATCTAGCTTGTATTTCCTGATCCATCTTATTCTGGCTGTTTATTATCACACCCAAATATTTAAATTCTTCTGTGACAGAAAATGTATAACTCAAACATTCCAGTGTTGAGGTCACATGTTCTGCCTGCCTTCCTATCTTCATAAATTTTGTTTTATCTTCATTCACTTGTAACCCTACCTTTCCTGCTTCTGTTATGAAGGCTTCAGCTAATACTTTTAGGTCATTTTTCTTTTCAGCCAATAAGGCTACATCATCAGCAAAAGCCAGTACATTGATTTGTCCTTCAATATTCACACCCAACTGAATAGATCTGGTTGCTTTCAAGGCGTCTTCAAGGGCAAAGTTGAACAGAAGAGGAGACAGTCCATCTCCTTGTCTTACCCCAGTATTGATGTCAAAAGTGTCTGTAAGTTCTCTCTCTATCCTAACTTTACCTCTTGAACCCTCCACACACATCTTTGTCAACCTCATAATCTTTTCTGGAACATTACTTTTTCTTAATATTGACCATAGTTTTGATCTTGTAACGCTATCATAAGCTTTCTTCATAAGTTAAACAGAACATATAGATCTTTGTTATATTCCCAGTATTTTGAGGCCAGCTCTTTCATGATAAATATCTGCTAGATATAACTACCCCTAGATATTTAAATTGTTCAACAACTTCAAAACTATGTCCATCTATAATAATTTCATTTGCCCTCATTTAATTTGCACTCATTTCACGGTTAACAGTAGTAAAATAAAGAGAGATGAAAATATTTGACTTTGGGCAAATTGAAACAATTAAATGGCCTCACACACTGCACACGACACTTTCAAGTCGAACTGCTAATCCAAAATTATTAAAGGAAGACTCACAGGCTGTACAAATTCGTCCTGCTTCTATTAACACGAGTTGGGATAGATTATTGATAAAGAGATGCCTTCATTTTCCTCATGGTGCGGATGACGTTGCATGAGTACAAGGCTTCCAAATAGTAAAACTGATAATTCAGTGATTAAAAAAAAAACAACATTTACCATCCCAAGAAAGGGTCGTCACCAAATGAGGTGATGGTTTTGTGATGGAGCCGACTCATTTTCTGGCAAGACAAAGGGCAAAAGTCACTAATTATCACGGAAGATATCTGTTTCCCCATTGTAAAAATATTTAGCCTGATTGTAAAAGTTTTTCTACTCAGGATCCTTAGGATATTTGGAAGAAACATTTGTACTTTGTAGCAAATTTAACGGGATAAATCATTCATTCATTCATTCATAGAGGGGACAAATTTTGTATCTCATGAAATAAAGGTTGAACCATGGACATTCCTTTGTGTATGGACAACTTTTAAACAGTTTTCTATCAAACAATGCGCTTCTGACTGGGATGACCTTTTGTAACCTATCGTAATGTATGTAATGTAATGTATCGACCGGAAATCCACCTTAGAAGGCATAAAGGCTGAAAAATATGGTTTGTGCATTTGTGACGTAATTTAAAAATCTGTAAAAGGTTTGTTTGCTCTACCATGGGATGTGAGCTGGGCTCCAAAATTTATCTGGATTACTTTGCAAATGAGATGATTGAAATATTAAGATCTTAAGACAACCAAAGTACATTTAGCTAAAATTAACCTTAAAGCTAAAAGCTAACCTTACTATATACTATTGGTAAATGTAATTTTATTTTTATTTTATAAAAGACCCATTCAACGTTATGGTTGAGATTTACTCACCCCATGTCTTGCTATGAGGGTTGCTCTCTTTAACTAGAACCTTGCCCTGTTTGACTCCTTTTTCTTCGACAACATCACTGTAAACAAAAGTCTAATCAAACTTATTTTTATTAGAATCAATGTGACAGCAGTCTTGTTACATTTAAAACTTGTATGTGAAGAATAATAAACAGCTTTTATTTTGAAAATACAGTCTGAAATAAAATTAAGTTTCTAGGTGTAAACCTCACTCGCCTTTGACTCGCTGGCGGCCAGATCTACTTAGCACACCAGGTCAATAAACTTTCTTGCAACCTTTTTAGTCTAATAACATTTATTCTCAAAACTACGTCTTGTATTTCTTTGTTTTACCAATAAAATCAATGAATTAACCACTAAAAAAGTTGAATTGTTCCACCAACCCGCATTTGCTGCAGTAAGGCACATAGTGGGTCTCGTCGCGTACCCGAGGTTTCTGCACTCTAATTACCCGCTGTTTGCACGAGTAGCACTTAACTCGTGGCCGAGCGTGACACACAGGCTTCTGACGTATCCGAGGCCCTCCACACAGCGTGCTGCATGCTCTCGGCTTGGTTTTCGTCTCAACTTTATCAGCTTGTCTTTGAGTTGTCCTCTGAAAATTATAACTACTAAAAATACCTTAAGTATAGTTTAAAGTAGGCTAAATTAATAAGGTAAATTTGTCTGTATCGGTACTTGTTTTTTATCCATTGCCAATTCAAGTTAAGTGCATATTGACTTAATTAATGTAAAATATTTTTGCAAGTAGCCTACTGTTATTTGAAGTAAAACATATTAAATAAACTTAATATTACCAAGAGTCCAGCCGACCAGGGCAGGTCCGTAATTTTGTATCGGTTTGAGAAATTTAAATTTTTGAATAGCCTACTTACTTGACCAATATCCTATGACCAAATGTCCATTGCCAGCATTCTGGTGTTACTTGGGTTGAGTTGACACGTCGAGTAAGGAAATTCCAATCATAGTACAGTAATTGGTATCACAAAATTGGTCAGGACAATGCCAGAGTGGTCCATAACTATTTCTAACAAATCAGTTCTAGCGGATAGACGCACTAAAACAAATCATTCTAGTAAAAGGTCATTTAATTTACAGAGAATAGTTAAGTAGTGTAATCCACTAGATTCAAATCAGAAAAACTGTTGTTAAAACTGTTGTTACCTAGGTTGCTAGGATAACAAAAAAATAAACAAATGATTAAAGTAAATACAGAACACATGGTTATTGTGTTAGACAGTTTAGTGGCACCACATTAGCCCCCTGCGGAGTCTGGAAGACCGGGCACTTTAAATTTCACAGTACGACCAGATCGGGTCACGTAAGGCTTGGGTTGGCTTGAGAGTAGGGTCTTGAGTGGGAACACTGTGGAGGGTGGATTTCTGGAATGTTTATTATGGATGGGTGTATGTGTTGAAGGAGTAAGATCTTGCAATAGATACGCGGGCTTTACTCTGTCCAACGTCACCTTCACACGTTTACCACGATGGATTATAGTCATAGTTTTATCATCACGAGATACCACGGGAAACGGTCCAGTATAAGGTGGTTGTAGTGATCGTCTAACAGAGTCATCTCGCAAAAATATGTGAGTACACCGTTTTAACTCCTGAAAAACGAAGGTCTTTGGTTTATCATGCCAAGATGTGGGCACAGGTCTTAAATTTGACATGTGTCGACGTAAGCGAACTACATAGTCAGCCGGGTCCTCCTCACGAGTTGTGTCTTGAGGGAGGTCTAGAAGTTCTCCAGGTAGACGGAGTTGGTGGCCAAAAACTAATTCGGCAGTAGATGCCTGAAGGTCTTCACGATATGCGCTGCGAATGCCGAGTAGTACGATGGGAAGTGCTTCAAGCCATGTTGAATCATTGTGGCACATGAGAGCTGCCTTAAACTGCCGATGGAATCTCTCGACTAAACCATTAGCACAAGGGTGATAGCCGCAAGTTCTGATTCGCTCTACACCGAAGGTCTTTCCAAGGACACGAAATAATGCTGACTCAAATTGGCGTCCTTGATCAGTTGTGATGCGCAAGGGTGAGCCGTAACGGGAAAACCAGCACATCACCAGAGCCTCAGCTACTTCTTCTGCGGTGATGGTTTTCAATGGATGAACTTCTGGCCATCTGGTGTAGCGGTCGATAGCTGTTAGGCAATATTTGTATGGTCCGGATGGTGGAAGTGGTCCAATGATGTCAATGTGAACATGATCAAATCTTGATGATGGGAGTGAAAACGATCCATGGGGTGTAAATACATGACGGGAGATCTTAGCACGTTGACATTTCTCACAGGCTCGGGCCCAGTTTCGACAGTCTTGTTGAATTCGGGGCCAAACAAAGCGATTAGAAACAAGTTTTGCCGAAGCTTTGATGCCAGGGTGACTTAGATTGTGTATAGAATTAAAAACTGAGCGTCTAAGGGGCTCAGGGACAAAGGGTCGTTGTACTGAAGTTGTTGTGTCACAGTATACATCAAGGTCTGTTCCAGGAATTTTAACAAGCTTCAAATTAAGAGATGTCTCTCCCTTAAGGATCTCTTGTAGCTCAGGGTCAGAGTCTTGATGATGTGCCAAAGTTTTGGCATCTACAATGCTGGGAGCCGTAGTTGACAATGAATCTACACGAGAAAATGCGTCAGCTACTAGGTTGGCCGATCCAGAAACATGTCTTATGTCTGTAGTGAATTGTGAAATGAATGTTAGTTGGTTTTGCTGAACAGGAGGTAGTTTTTCACGTTTTTGACTGAAGGCAAATGTTATTGGCTTGTGGTCTGTGAAAACTATGCAATGATTTGCCTCAAGGTAGTGACGAAAGTGACGAATGGCGGCATATACAGCGAAAAGCTCACGGTAATAGGCTGGCCAAAGGGATTGTTTTGGTGTCAGTTTTTGTGAAAAGAAAGAGAGAGGTTCCCATGTTTTATTGTCAACCATCTGCTGGAGAGCAGCTCCTACATGGGTACTCGAGGCATCACAGAACAATGCGAGAGGGGCCTTGTGGTCAGGGTGAACAAGCAAGGTAGCATTGGAGAGATGTTCTTTGCAGGATAAGAATGCAGCATCCAATTCAGGAGTCCAATTTACAGGTTGGTTTCCACGTAGAGATGAGAGGGCATCATGGAGAGCTGCTTGTTGCTTGGCTGCTGAAGGAATGAATCTGCGGTAGAAATTCAACATGCCGAGAAAACGACGCAAACCTTTTGCAGTAGAGGGACGGGTGAATTGTTGCAGAGCCTCAACACGTTCAGGAAGTGGTCGAGTACCAGCAGATGATACCTCATATCCTAGGAAGGTAACCTTTGGAGCTTTCAAAACAGTCTTATTTACGTTAACGAGTATGCCATAATCAGAAAACCGATTGAATAGAGTTCGTAGATGGGCTTCATGTTCAGTCTCATCCTTAGAGAAAACTAAGACGTCATCTATATAAGGAAAGCAGAAGTCTAAACCAAAAACTACTTCATCGATGAAACGCTGAAAAGTTTGTCCTGCGTTGCGGAGGCCAAAGGACATGAAGGGGAATTCAAACAATCCAAAGGGGGTTGTAATGGCTGTCTTTGGGATGTCTTCAGGGTTGACAGGGATTTGTGTGTAGGCCTTCACTAGGTCGATCACAGAGAAATACTTGCAACCTCTGAGAGAATGGGTGAAATCGTGGATATGTCTAACAGGATATCTGTCAGGAATAGTCCTAGCGTTGAGAGCACGGTAGTCTCCACAGGGGCGCCATCCATCAGGTTTCTTAGGGACCATGTGAAGGGGTGATGACCAAGGTCCATCAGATCGACGTGCAGTACCATCGGTGAGCATGGCATCAAACTCGGCTTTGGCTATAACAAGCCGATCAGGGGCGAGTCGACGTGGACGAGATGAAACTGGGGGGCCAGGGGTCGTTTTGATGTAATGCAAGGTTGAATGGAGCACTTTTCTTGGTGTACCAGAGGGTCGGGTAATCATGGGAAATTCTGCCAGTATTGATGAAGTTGGAGAATTGGGTGTGATAGTTTTTATGCTGAAATGAAGGATTGAGGTACATTGACAAAGAACAGAAAGGTTTGTTACACTGTCAATCAACCGTTGATTACGACAGTCAGGAAGCAATCCAAAGTGTGCTAAAAAGTCAGAGCCTATAATCGCTGTATTAACATCAGCAATGACAAAATTCCATGTAAAAGCTCGTCTCAGCCCTAAGTTTAATGTTAATGTCATCATACCGTAGGTGTGAATGGCAGAGTTGTTTGCTGCACGAAGTTCATATTCTATATGCTTTTGGTTCTTACAAACGAATGATTTAGGGAGGCAGCATATGTCGGATCCAGTGTCAATCAAAAATTTTGTATTAGTTGTACGGTCGACGATTTGTAGGCGGCGCCCTCCAGCTTGGCAGTCAGCTGACGCCATCACTGACTGCCTTTGGAGTTTGTCGGAGAAGTGAAATTGCATGGTGGAATGCACTTCTCAGCTTGATAGCCAAAACGCTTGTGGTACCAGCATAGATTGGTTTGCTCTGTAGTGTCAGAGGAGCTACCTGCGTGATAACGACTACTAGACAAACTCCTCTGACGTGACCTAGGTCGCCTGTCACGTAGGGAATCAACATCTTTACGCATATTTTTCATTTGCAACTCCAAAGCAGATAATTTTGATAAAACTTCAGTTAATTTTGGGTCATCAGAAAATGAAGATTTAGGATTTGGTGAATTAACGGCATTCAAAGATGTAGGCATACTAGTGAGAGAATGGCAAAAAGATGCGTTAGGTTGGACTGCTAGAATTTTGTCGGCAGTAATTGCAAGTGTGTCAGTTTGGGCACTTGTTTGGACTTGCAAAATACTTTGTACATGAGCAGGAAGTCTCTGCATCCAAATAGTTTTCAGTAAACTATCATGGATTGTGGTCGAACCTACTAGTGATCGAAGGTGGCGTAGGAACTGAGAAAGAGTTTTGTCACCTAGTTCCTCCTCCATCAATAGCTGACGAATGCGTTGCTCCTCAGATAGAGACAACCGTCTGATTATTTCAGACTTAAGAGTAGAGTAAGGAGTTTCAACAGGTGGATCTATTATAAGATCCTCCACTTCATTAGCATAGCGCTCATCAAGATGTGAAATTACATACGAGTATTTAGTTGTTTCACTCGTGATGTGAGCCAGTGTAAACTGAGCCTCAACTTGGGCAAACCAGAGCCTTGGTTTCTCTTTCCAGAATGGTGGAAGTTTTATGCTTACCCGGTGGATGTGATGATCTTCATGTCGTTCGTCGGAATGGGCTGTATGATCTGGCTGATGCTGTGGTAGAACTGATGGAAGATCAGGTAGGTTGGCTTCTTGAGGATGTGCAGAAATGTGATTTTGTTCTTGTCTTCCATTCAAATCTTGAAGTTGTCTTTGTAGGTTGGCATTCTCACTCTCTAATTGAGCTAGGCGCTCCAAAAGTTCTTGGTCCATGGCGTAAAACGATAATTTGGGGAAAGGTGAAAAATAAATGAAGTTTTGGTAGAAGGTTGAAATTTAATGTAAGAAAAACATCAATTTAGTTTGAAATAATTTACTTGTTAGTCGGGGTCACCATTTCTAGCGGATAGACGCACTAAAACAAATCATTCTAGTAAAAGGTCATTTAATTTACAGAGAATAGTTAAGTAGTGTAATCCACTAGATTCAAATCAGAAAAACTGTTGTTAAAACTGTTGTTACCTAGGTTGCTAGGATAACAAAAAAATAAACAAATGATTAAAGTAAATACAGAACACATGGTTATTGTGTTAGACAGTTTAGTGGCACCACACAGTAAAGAGCACAATAGATCAAGGGATAGGTTGGAAGGACTGATAGATTATTTTTGAGTTGCACTTCAAACCAGGCATTTTGCAGCTTTTCATGTAAACCTTACTGTGTGTGTTTGTCCACAACAATATGTTTTAAAAGAATTTGAATTATTCGTAAGCTAAGGGGAGAACATTATGAGAAATAGGATAGTGAAATCGATGAATAAATGACAGGGGCTCAATGAATTGAACCAACAGTACCCACCTTTACTCTCCTGTCTACTACTTTACCTTGGATGACAGTGTTTTGTGGTTAACAACGGCAGCTGATTCCTGAGCGTGCACTGGGTAGTTTACCATTTCTTCTATCACAACTTTAGTTGATACCTCTACCTTTGGAGCTATTATACCCTGAAACAGTTACAACAGAAAATAAGACCAAAAATTAAGTAGTCGCCCAATCTGTAGGAATATGGTACAAATACCTTTAATAAATTATAAATAGGTACATTTAAAGGATTGCTTGACATTAGAACCAATCTGACCTCGACTAGTCTGATTCCTCGCTTAATCCGACCGTACTATCGCCTATCGGTGACAATGTTATAACAGTAATATCTGTTAGGCTGGGTGTGCTGCTAGCATAGTGGTTAGCGTCTTGGACTTAGATGCGGAAGGAAAGGGGTTGATTCCGGCACATCCACAAAACAAGGGGGTTTGGACCGCTTTCCCCAAAAGCAATTTTGTACTCTCTCTAACATCTATTTTTAAAAATTCCATTGGCTTAGACACCATTAAAAAAATAAATAATAAATATTGTGACTATTTGTCACTGTGGAGATCATCACCATCTTCCACGATCATGGAAAAATATTAAAAGTCCCCCGTGGTCACAGCCTCACGGGAGCTTATCATCGTCTTCCGCAGTTGCGGGTGAACAATAAATGTCAGTAAATTAATTAATTTGCTAATTTAATATCCTCCTCGGATAATCCGACCTTTTCACTGTTCTGACCATGGTTCCGTTCCCGTTGGTGATAGAATAGCGCGGTTGTACTCAAGATTCAAGAGATCGATAATGGGTTCCTCAGAAAACATCAGAACCAAGCTGTCGGTGGATAGCAGTTTGAATTTAGTACTCATCTATGGTAATCAAACTGAATATCTGAATCAGTAACTAAGATCTCATTTCATCCATTCAGTACTTATCCTTAACTCAATTTTGCCTTGAAATATGCACCTGGTATTTCAATGCCGTATAAATATAATCTAATACTTACAGGAAAACAAGCCGTAGTCTCCATCAGTAAGTCAACATCCACACCAGCCAACAACCCTCGGCTGGCCGGCTGCGGGTAGAGCAGGTCAGCCAGAGGGCTGCGGAATGCAGCTAGCAATACGCAGCGACAGCCATGCACCTGCCATTGCACCAGGCGCAGGTGTACCACTCTCTTGGACAACTCTGACTGCAGCTCAGCCAGTGACGTAACTCCAGTCAGTGTCTAAACAAAGAAATAATATGAATTTTCAATGAGTTTTGGTTTTCCTGTGTCTTTTGTTACCAGACCTACTATGTCATTCAATTCTGTCTGTAGAGGTATGGTGAAATTGTACAAATTTTGTGTGGTATGACTAAATAAATATACCAATATTACCTACATTGGGTTTATTTAGCAATACGTAGCTGGTACAAAGAGAAATAATATAATCAATCTATTAGTTTGACAGTTGACCATCTCAGATATCAGTTAAGTGTATTTCAAAGAAAATGAATCACATGAATAATAAATCTTTTACGCCACACTTGACTGTTTTAACCAACTTCCCACGCAAGGATTTAAACGGTTTGCACCCAGCTTAATCAAATGGGGTTTCATTACGTACTACCACAAAAAACGTACTACTATAACCCAGAATGCCAACCGCATGGTAAAAAGCATTAAGCGGTTTGAGAGAGCTTTGCCTGTCAATCCGTAGGCAGCGCCACCAGCGTTGCTATGCTATTGCATGGCAACGCTGGTGACGCTGCCTACGGATTGACAGGCAAAGCTCTCTCAAACCGCTTAATGCTTTTTACTATGCGGTTGGCATTCTGGGTTATAGTAGTACGTTTTCTGTGGTACTACTGTACTGTAATGAGTTTTTACCGGACACCAAACAGCTGATTATGTTTGGCACTGAGTGATTATAAATTAACGCTTAACGAGAGGTTATGAGTAGTGATTGTTAGTCCTTTAGTCGATTGGAAAATAATGATTTGTACAGATTTTTTATTGTTAAATTAGCTTAGAGTAATATGGCATAAAATATCGTACGTCACTCGTCCAAAATAAGTTTACTGGACTCGTATGGTATAATCCCGCACTCGAATTCATCTCGCACGGAACGATTACACTTGTCCGGTAAACACCTTCAGGACTAGTAACGTAATATACTATAAAATGGTCATATAGCTTTAAGTAAGTTCTCTGCTAAAGATATAGGCCTAGTTCTCTCTGCCTATAGGAGGAGACCAGATGGGATCTAAAAATTACATATCTTAAGTATCAAAACTCAAGTCAAAGGCTATTAAAGAACTGGTATGTTTATTGTATAAATTTGTCACACAGTATTTATTACATATTTTAGACTGCCTAAATCGTTAACTTTCTTTATACCCATCATAGTAAGAAATAACTGTAAATATCCCATAGGTAAATTATATAGGTTTATTCTCTTTTAGACTTATAGACATCTAACCAAGTTTTTATGCAAAAAGGTCTAAAAACTCTAGAAGATGCTTCTTATAAGTTTGATTAACACAGCTTACGGTAACTAAATGAGAAATCTAAAACTACGAACCTTTCGAAAGTGGAACCTTTCATGAAACAACAGCGGGAAGTTCGGTTCCACTCTTTTGGTGTGAGCTGAGGCGCCCAACATGGAAATTTGTAGCATCGCATCTCCTTTCGGGCACAACCAAACCCCTGGGCAAGTGACCTGCAAAGCAGATAGAGATAGATTAAACAAATTCACCTTTGGATGCTGTTTAAATAAATTACATATCTCTTTACATGCTTGTAATCAGTTAAGTAAGTTAGACAAGTTCGGATTACAACACTGAAACTAGCCTGTAGTTTTTACATACGAAAGTGAATCCTATTTGAAACTAAATAGGTCTAATCTGAAATATTAAGAAGTACCATTACCCTTGATAGTAGGAGAGAGTAGTTAAGAAATATATAGGTAGCTTATGTTCATTAACTTACGTCTATGCTAGGCCTATTGATATTGTATGGATTGTTCTGCATGGTTTGCTTAGTTTAGATGCAAATTGTACATATTTTTCTAAGAGTCAGTATTCTCGAGCTACCTGACATTCGAGCAAAATGTTAGTATAAGCCTATTTTGGGTGCTGTGTTTGTTTGATTTTTCTTAAGTTAAGTTTTGTATAGTGATTGTATATAGTGACGATGCCCATTGCATTTGTGCAATGCTTAAAGTAAATCTCATTTTATTTCATTTCATTGTACTGAAATTATGGTTAGGTTATATCTAAATGGTTGTTTAAAGACAACAGCATAAGTTAGATCCGGCTGCACTTTACTTTAGGTCCTACACTCATTAGAATGAAAATATCGATCGATATATCGATTAATCGATATTTTCATTCGAATGAGTGTAGGACCTAAAGTTAAGTGGAGCCTTAGATCCTGTTGAATTCAGGGTGTGCAATGGGTGTTTTAGGACAAAATAAAATGTCAGCAGACATGTAGGTGAATAAGTTAATTAATTTGAATCTAAATGCTGTCAGGTCATAATAAAATGAAAGCAGCCAAAAAAAAAACAAAAAAAGTGGTGCCTGTGTCTAGTTTTAAACCTAAAAAACATGTTTTTGTGAAAGAACCAGTGATCCTCATAAAAAAACTGAACTAACTTAAGCTTTATCACCTAGCTGCCAGCTAACTGCCTACTTTGAGCGAGGACTTGATAGGAGTTGATTGTTTAGCAATAAAATAGGCCTTCATTTAAACTTTTTTAGGTGCCAGAAAGAATTAGGATATTCAGCTAACAAAATGTGAATAAAACTTAAGTATATTATTGGAACTAAAGAGACCCGACCATTTACTTACTATCAATCACTTTTCCAACTTATGCCATACCCCATCAATTTTACACAGATAACCTTGCATGTATGAAATAAATAATGGATCATAATGATCAAAGGTTATTATAATATTGTGAGAGAACAACAGATTAATTTACTAAGCATAAAGCCCTGGTACAAAGTAAATAGCTCTAAGAAGACATAAATTCACACCTTAACTTAAAAGAAAACTAGAACTATGTAACATTTTGATTTAATTAAAAGAATAATAAGTTAAATTTAAAACATGATTTCTTACTTACTGCATGAATATCAATGTCAATTCCAATATGAAATGCTTTTCTGGGCATGACTTGTACTAAAATTTAAAATGAACTTTGTATCGTCAGTTATGTTGGTTTAAGAATTATTAAAATCAGAATATTGACATATTGGTCCTTAACAATAAGAACCACCTCCTTTGTTTACAAGACAAAAACCATAGCAACATTGACGAAGACATTGACAGCTTCATACTTCGTGTTGTTATTTTGATTTTCTGGTATTGCCTTGAATCAAAATAAACACCTGATGGATGACGATGACGTTCCATTCTACGTCAAAGTCATCTGTTTTTGGCCAGCTCCAGCTGGAGCGTCTAGATTTCGTGTTCATTATTTGTTCAGTCAGATTCGGTCGGATAGCGTCCAGGGCTAGAGATAGCCCTGGATAGCGTCAGCGAATGCTGTGTTGACTCGCTGACTATTCACCTTATTCATTTATGAACTTTTTTTGTAGGGAGGTGTTGTCGATAAAATAAATTTAATAAATTTTACTTGAAATCCTACACAATTTTTCTAGACTTCTAATCCTTATGGATCAGATGAAGTTAATTTTATTGTTAGTTTTGTCCGGTGCACTGTATAGAGGTCGTGTTTTGTTTACAATTTAATTGTTTCTTGTTATTTAGGTTATTTAAAACCTCGTTTAACCAAATAAAAATATAGTCATAAACAATATCTAATAGCCTTGTTTTAAAACCAAACAGTACAAGCACAAGTCATTAAATTAATCCTAAAATGGTAGAAACAAAATTTCGTTGACACTTGCTTTACGCTACGCCCAATGTCACCGGACTTGAACTAGATACGAAAACGAGCTTCAAAATTTACAATGGGATGGGAAGTCTACTAATTTATAACAATTTCATCATGCGAAACGTCTTGCTATTGCTAAAGTTGGGAAGGTTTTTTCCGCGGAAAAACGACCAAAAATATTTTTTTACCAAAACATGTGTCTTTCGGAACCAGCGTTGAATTTCGAGTAGAATGAAAAAAAAATCAAAAATAGCGTGCAAACCCTAAAATGCATATTAACCATAGTTTCGATAATTGTTAAAATCATGCACTGAATAAGAATAAACTAAAGTTCAAAGGATTCTGCCTTGTCATTATTTATGGAAAATAAAAATTTTGAACATAGGTAACCTAATGAGTTAGGTAGGTCTTAAGCTTTTGAACACATTTTAGTTAATTAGAGATCATGTAGTGTTCTCTCAACTATCATTTTTCTCATTCAACTCAAACAAAGCGATTGTGTAGCCTACACGAATGATCACAAAGGGTAGATTCATACATTCCCGAACCTTCTATAAACTATTGTAAAATTTCGAATACCATAATAATATGTAGTGATAAATAAATAGATGGATTGAAAATAAACCCAGCATTATTCAAAGTCAATGCCTACATGCACTGTATGTAGTATCCATATACAACTACTACAGTTCACTTTATTTGCCTTTGATATTTTAATGTTGCAGCTGGGGAGAAAAAAGGTAGGTAGATAACGATGCGGGAGCGATGGAGTCGGCTCGGGATGTTAGAGAGAGGGTAAGTTTTATCAGTTTATATAATCACTGGAAGCCTTGACAAGAGCGATAACCATATCACTGTAAAGACCGAGATTTGTTCTATCTGTTTATGCTATACTTACACCCTGTCTATCTTCTTAGGGTGTATTATCTGGATTGTGGTGCGGCCTAGGGTCTATTGCCTTGGCTATTTGGTCTACAAAGGCAAGGCAATTACTCTTGTTTATTTTCATTTCAGTTAGGGATTGATAATTAAACGTAGCTCGCTATTATCTCTGTAGTTAACATAAGCATTTGGCTACACAATACCCATGCTGTCACTGTCGTTTTAATGTTCAAAGGATTAACTTAACTTAATAATAACAAACAACAAAACCAACTGAACTAGGCTTAAACAAACTATTTACCTAACTTACTAGGAACTGAACTGGTAGAAACCACTGAAATATAAACACACTCAGACACTGTGTCAATTTATGACCGACTGAAGTATTCCTAAATTCTAACTTAAGTGTGTCTAACTTAGAAAGTTTAAACCATTGACTATATATACCTACAGGTATATATAACTTAGTCAATGGTTTAAACTAAACCCTTTCTCCCTTTGTAGCTCTAGAAACAAGATCATGATGTGCCTGCCAAAAATTATAGGCCTACCCTATCTCAACTGTAATGAAGTACCTACACTAAGCTTAGGCTAAATAGTGTTGGGTATCGATAGTCAATAAATAATTTTAACTTAAACTCTGATATTTATTTTTCACTTTCACTTGGCACATCGGACTACAGTTACGAGGTGGCATGGCAACACTACACCAAAGTGTCAGTTTTTTTTTACCCTCCGAGTGTTATGTGTCGTAAAAGCGACTCATATGTTTTGTGTCGCTTTTGCGACTCACAAACACTGTTTACGGCGAAGGCTCTATGACTGACTAAATCGGATTGAACTGGATCGAGTTAGGTATCGTTTTTTTTGGCAGATTCTAAGCTTTCTCCCGAGGTCTGTCTTTAAGAGCTTTTTTTTCTCGAGCCGGTCATAATTATAGTAGACAGCTGACGTGCGTATTTGTAAACCGCGTATTTGTTGGTTAACCTCGCAACGATGACTGATGTGTTTTATTACGTTTATCATTGTTTTAGTGTTAAAAATCAACAGTAGTGATATACGTGGTGCATTATAAGAAGATTTAAGTGATTTTGAAGGGCTGGTTGATGATCCTGAAGAAGTAGGTAGTGATATTGATGTAAATTATCAGCCAGATTCCTAGCTATTTTAGTTTAGCATTCTTAGCTAAACGCTATGTACCGAAATCTGTTTTTTGCCCATAACTTATTTATTTGCAAATCTACTTCTTTATATTATTATATTTTTGGAATCCTCATAAAATTCTGAACAAAGTGGCTATTTTAAAATATTTGTAGACCTATAAATTATAACAATTTATTGAGCGCAAACATACATTTTTTTTCATTTACCTATTTTATAATTTTTGAGAAATGTTAACCCCACAAAAATTCTTCAACATTTTTTTTATGTTTTATATGTTACATTGAAGCCCATAATTTTCCAAACAAAATGATATATAAAACAGTATACTTTACATTGTTTTTAGTTTCTAAGATACATTTCAATAAAACCCTGCGATTGCGCAATAAATGGGCGAATATTAAGACCAAAACTAGAGAAACTTGGAGGGTTAATCAGCCACATTAGGTAATCAAAATTAAGCTACTAAGCCTACTGTTCTTCTCTTGATTTAATCCATCGATAATTTAACACAATAAACAACCCATAGATCGGCAGTTAAACGGCCAGAGGACATTCAGAAATTTTCAGCAAACTTTTTTGGTTACCGGTAACGTATAGGCTAAATATTTATATTTTCCTGTAGGCTACAACTTACAAAAAGATTTACAAAGATATTTATTTAGCATTCTGTCGACGTTTTGCTAAATATCAATGTTTTTCACCGGTAGGCCTATATAGGCCTATCAATATTTCGAGTTCGATATTTTTTTGACATTGATGTTTAAAGGCCGATACTAATATTGATGTTACTGGTTTGATGTCCCAACACTAAGGCTAAGTTAGTATTAGTAGCCTAATTTGTTTTTGAGGCAAGAGCAAATTTTATTGTTTATAAGTTTAGAGCCCTATAATAAGACTGCAATTAAGTTTTGATTTCCTGAGGTAAAGCTTCCGAAGCCAAGTTGCATTAATAGTTGCAAGTAATAAACGACTAATTAACTCATCTTGCCAACAAACGTCAACTCTCCCAGTTTTGGCTCCATTTATGTTGGCGGCAGACTGTCTACTGCTATTCACGTCATTTCCTCGGTCAGTGGCCAAACTATTTTTAAACTTCCCGGAGGTGTTCAATGTTTCAAATTATCTTGTGGAAAGTTTTAGTGGACTTGTGGTGTAGCTTTCTTACCTAGGCTTAATAAGACTAAATACTGAAAGAGTTCTACTGCTGCACATTCTTTTTACAGTTATTTAAAGTGATAGAAATTGCTCTATGGGCTAGTCTTGGGTTTGGAAACTAATCACAGCTTTTCCACATAGGCCTAATTTATTATATTACCGTAACTTAATTATTCTTTTACAGATAAACTCTAGATAGCCTACACAAATTTTTAAGATATTCTACATATTTTGAAAATATTGTTAACATCATGACATTTTTTAACTTTATGAAAAGTTAACATATAAACCATGTGTTTGATTTATTTTGTTTAATTTATAATGTGTGTTAATGGTCTTGAAATAATTTGGAAAACATGCTTGACAAGTGTAATTTGAAGGAAATTATAGGAGCCGTTTTTTAAATCATTGTGCACAAATGTTACTCGTACATATTTCAGTGGAAATCTGATCATACAAATAGAGGCTTAGCAGGTTTGCTGTGGCGGAGGGTAACTTTCAATATTACTATGGTAAATTTGTTATTCCATACCGTAATTCATTTGTGAATACATAAATTCAGTTGAAAAATTAAAGCTGTGGGATATCAAGAAAAATAACATGTTCCAAAAATTGTATCTGTGGGATATCAAGAAAAATAACATGTTCCAAAAATTGTATCATAACTTGATGACTAGAGTGTTTTTCACTTAATTGTTATTTTCATGATTATCATCAATCATCATGTGATGTTCACTTGGCATTGCAAATGAGTTGTGATAACTTATCAAATTTCTCAGAATGTTGAGCCAATGTCTGCCAGCGCTGATAGTTAGTTATTACACTGGTTACATTACAATGTTGTGTAATGTAACTTTGACTGGGACGGGTGGTCGTCCTGTAATCCAGCTACTAGGAAGTCACGAATTGTGGATATTTATAGGGATGCACTGTGGATGCGATGCTCCCTGGTGTGGATTAACGTCCGCACTAGTGAGTACTACGACTATCCGCAGTACTATCCTGATAATTAGACTAATTTGTATATTACAAGGAAAAATGTGGTTCGGATTCCACTATAAACTGTAGGTCCCTTAGTTGCCATTAGCTGTATGGGCTACTAATTAACAGCTGTGTCTAAGGAACATGTCGGCCTTAGTCACTAACAAGACTACAAGATCGCACCACTCATCCTACACTCATCCTTCACTCATATTTGGGTTAAAATACGCACATAGTGGAGTCCCCATCTTAAATAATTGATAATTGAATAATT